CTGGTAAGTGATGCTTTGATTGGTCGGATGGAAGGTCGGATGGAAGGTCGTTCTGACATGACCCGTAATGGGGTGTCCTCAGATCTTTGCTTCACAAGAGCGAGAACTAAGATTTGATTATAATGAGATTGAAGCATGTCAAATGTATGAATGTTAGGGCAGAGAGGGCTAGATTTAGCTATATAAAACATTCAGCAGTGCAACCGATCACGGAAAAATGCAACCTTACATTATGTTTACATGCACCACAACTGAAAGATGTTGCATTTCTACCGACGGGTCGTTCTGCGATGTTTACGAGCATGGTGAATCAGCCTCTCGCTGGCCAGAAGGGCGCAACCCAAAGTAGCTGAACTTGTCTTGTGCCTGAGATCTTTGCAGTGCCCGAGGTAGGAGGGTACACGTATGCAGCTTGTCCCTCCCATGAGACGGCTAGAGCATTGTTGATGTGTAGATTCTGTTCGTCTGCGGACCAATGCCATGTCACCCAAAGATCTAATAAGTGTGTGCCCAACCAATCGTCTAGGCATCGACGAACAGGTCATGCGTGGTGGGAACTGCAACACATCTTTATCTTACAATCGTTTTTCTGCAGGAAAGGTCATAAAAAGCATAATAAAAGTCAAAGCTGCATCTTGTAGATCAAGGCCGATCATATATTTCCTCACTTATTTCCTCAATATCAAATAAACACAAGGAGAGGGTTTGGAAAACACTGCCACTGATCCTTTCCGTTTTACACCTGTAAAGATCCGGGTTAGAATAGGTTTTCAGCAATCCATGCTTGTTGCAAGTGGCGAATAATGGGATCGGGTGGTCAGGTCCGTTGACTTCGTCGATGCTTGTCATCGTATGCCTGTTGCGTAGATTGATGCTCATGATGTTAATCACTGGATTGTTACAGACTGTCGTTATATAGTTGGAAAATAACCTAGTGTGGCATTAAACAAACAAGCAAACTTACTGTTTGATTGGTGTAGGTTCAACATAGACTGAACGATTTCTCAGTGAGGGTAATAGTTCCCTCGTAGAAACATCACATAGATTAAGTGGCATGCACTAATGCAAGCCCCGTTCACTAAGAACAGTAGCCATGAGATTATCAGATAATAAGAGTCCAGTGTTCCCGTGAAGTATGCACAGGAGGCCGATCCTGCCGATCCATACAATTCTTACAAACACACTCCTGCTCTACTAGAACAAAGCTACGCTTGCTACCAATCTCAATCGAGTTCTTAACTATAGTCACAACTGCCATTGAACTGATATAGAGGAGGTTCATCAAAGCCATTGATGACTGTCATAACGCCTCCAAACCGATAAGAGCAATGAAGGAGGAGGAGGATGACGACGACCCTGAATGTCGTATATTTGTTGATCGTTATGGTAAGAGGCAGGGTGCATAAATCTTGATCCTTACTGCGCCATCCATCTTCTGAGGATCGCAGAGGGGTATAAGGATTCCATGAGGGAGTTCTGATCCTCGGAAGGGGGGCCTTGATCACGACTGTGCCGGTGATCCCTTGACACTTGTGAAGTGTAAAGTCCATCCCGTGTACGGCTACACCTGCGAACCTCTATAGATCATAAAGAGGAATGTTGATCCCTTAAAGTAGTATATCAATCCCTTGGAGAGGGGTATCACTGTCGATCAGTCAACTGTGGCTGTGAATATCAATGCCATGGACAAGGGTAATGACGTTGCTCTGCAGACTGTCGAGGTGAATGCTCATCCTTACAAGACGAATGTCGATCCCTTATAGAGGGGTTTCCACCTGTATCCTCTGAAGAAAGTATAGGGGAATGTCATTCCCAATCTCGGCCACGTCTACAGTCATCTGATAAACGTGCAAGGAAGCACGATTGTGCAGTAGATTGCTGATTGTTGATCCATATCAATCCAGCTCCAGTCTATCCCGCTTCTCTGTGTCTCCTATCCTCTGGACAGGTTGATTTCGACCCTGACTGTTGTGAACTCCCCGATCAGGGCACGATCATGAAGGAGAACGACAATCCCACACTACATCATATCTTCTATAATTCTCTGAACTGGCTGATCTACAAGGTGAACTGTGATCTCTAGTATGATCTGCTAGCTCGTGAATACGTCTGTCTCTGCAGTAGGAAGACACAGATCAGTGTGGGCTCTCTATGATCTTTCTGAACATCTATTCGATTCCTTAGTATTCGCGAACAGTCTTCTGTGCAATTCAGTGAAGTCTGAAGATGCAGGTCCTTTTTGGAGAACCTGTCGCCGATCTTATGTGGGAGGGTGTGTATGCAGATCGAAATGGGTTCATTCGCATGTGTTCTTGATATGTCTTCAGTCAGGAAAGAATCTATGGAGAGTGCTGGATCGGAGGTAGGTTTGCTGACAGTTGCCGACTAAGTGATTTTCTTGGATTTTTCCCGCAACAGAATGTCCATACTCAACTGACGTAGACTTACATTTTCTGTCACTGTCCCGTCTATTGCACTTGCTCAAATATGTCTTGAAATCAGTCTTGGAGAGATCTTTATATTTCTTACATCTTTTAGTGTCAGAGCAACATCACTGACAATTAAATAGCCAAGGACACGGCTGGGATGTGTTTGGGTGTGGGTTTTTTTAAAGCTGGAAACATGTTTAAGGATCATTTCCACTCAAGGAAAATACATTTTGGATGCCATACATTTGGAATAGCCATACATCACTAAACTCTAATATACAAAGACAGTTACTTGACTTTGATATTACTGCAGAAGCTAATTTTTATAAAAAGTTACTTCTTTTCCAGTCATTGTCGATAGTGATATTTAAATAATTATATCTTAAGGTATAGGTTACAAAAAGGTAGACTTGTGTTTACTACAATATTCAATGTATTCATGGTTTTACGAGGCGCTCAAATGTAAGTCCAGTACGCACAAATGTAGAGAATGGACCAGAAAAAAATATACTTGTCCTGAGGGATGCACAATAACAATCATTGTACCTACAGGGCATCAAGAGCAGTTATGGTGGTCTGTTATTTCGTCCATCAATCATGACCACTGTCCACTGATTTATTCCAGACTCTAAAAGCAATTATCTAAACGTACAGTACACTACACCATTTCATTACTTTATAGGACCCTCCTCTTCCCTGCAAGGACCCTTAAAATTAATTATTAAGGGTCCCTTCTCCACCCCCACTCCCACACTTATGCAAGTTAAGGTAAAGGCCTGGTATGTGACAATTCATTTTGGGGGGAAAACATGATAGAAATTGATTACGAGCTTGAAATTAAGCGCTTTTCTGAAGCATCAACACAACTGTTATCAGTGTTTCCTTAATTCAGAATGACACTCCACTGAAAACTGCTTCACTCACTATCTTAGCTAACACTGAAGAGTTCAGTTTAAAATGTTTTATTATGGCAGGGTAGAAAAGTGATAAACATACTGTGTATTCAATGTAGGCCTATGTTACCTGTATACTTCCCAAGGAGTTGAGAATGACAACTGTAATGCAAATGGATCCACTGGTCAGGATATAAAATAATTGCATTTGAGCAGATACTAGTACCTGGATTAGTGCAGTACATATGTACCTATGTATGTATAATAAAACAGTGTTCGGTTCCCAATTCAATCTAGCTGAATTACATCTACACACAAGCTGGCTCTACACTGAAAACACAGCATCTAATTAATATCAAATTCCATGTTAACTGTCTTATGCTGGCTGCATTTCTGCTGAAACCAGTGTTTAAACAGGAGGTGTTTAGCCAACTTTTACAACTGACACTGTTTGTGCTATACTCAGGAGGCTATTTATCTGTCACTGGATTCCTTATTAAAAAGATATACATAATTAATAGACACAGGTCAGTATTTGTCTTCAGTTAGCTGATGGTACATAAAGTCCAGTCGTGTCATGAACCAGAGACCTAGTGATGCACATGATTATTTATTTACTTATCATTAACTCAACAAATTCAGAAAATGCCAACTCAAAGGATAGAAAAGCAGTATGAAACAGCGATAGAAACTAACATATTTAGTCCACTCGTCCATGTAATGATAACATACCCAAACCCTTAAAAAGTGCAAATTTCAACCAGTCTTTATTATACCTTAACTATTGGGCAGTTTGGCAAGGACTATATAGGAGTAGTGCCAATTTCTAACGCTGCAAAAGTGACACAAGATTATGATCTTATTTGATTGGAACATTCTTTTTGGTACATTGAATGACTATGGTGGTGACAAAGACCCAGTCTTACTCAACATACACTAATGTTTGTTATTTTGTGCTACAATCACCAATATTCTGGCTTTATCACACCGACCTGTGAATAATGCCATTGGTGTTTTTTATTATAAAAACAATGAAATCACAGAACTTGACCACGACAAACAACCTCATGGCCTGTTCTGTGAAAACGTGCTTGGGACCTGTTCCAACTTGAGTGCCCACAAGGCCAAACAACTACAAGTGAGTATTCAGTTCAGTTAATGAGGACTTGAATTATTTGTCTTGATCATAGGTTTGCAACTTAGGTAAATACGTCAAAGGACCAAAGGAACGGATTCATAAAAGCAGCCAATGACAATAAGAAACTGACGTCAAGAACAAGGATTAAACTCAGAATGCAACTGATATGTTTTGAGTAAAATGAGAAATGTTTTATTGTGTGTCTCGTTAAAACTGACCATAGTGACAAACATTAAGTTTGTTGTACCCAAACTTTCATGGGAAATCATTTCCTGATGAACATTTTTTACCTTTATTAGCTGTTTTTAAGCGATAAAACCGACATTGTGATCGTCTGACATTCAAACTCTGCTTGGATATTTCAACGTCTAAAGAAAACGTATGGTTTTGACAAAAACACCGTTATATATCGAGAGATATATTTAAAGGGCACCTGTCGAAAACAGGTGACTAATGTGTAACATTGCCGGAAGATTTGTAGCAAGTTTAGCGCGACTTATTTCGGTGTCAATAACTTTTAAACAGTGAAAAGTCACTTACCAGTTGTGAAAAAGGTGTCAGTTCACCAGATACAAATGCTATTTTGGTGATCCTTTTAACTTTTAAGTTAATGATGTGTTGACAGCCAAATCATAAGCAACACATGGTTGCCGCCATTTTATTTCGTCTCACCTGCTATGTATTCGTCCGCTGAACTCACAAATGAGTGGAATTTTGTTTACAATCGAATTATAACTTTAATCATGAATTTCAGCTCCTGTGTGTTAGATGTGTTTATTTGGAGCAGAAATAATGGGTATATGAATGGTTTAATAGTTTAGAAAATATTATAAGTGATTATTTATACTGATGACAAATAGTCCGTGAGGTAGGAAAGTAGTGCATCTGGGCACCCAGCTCGCGAGAGTATGACCGTAGCACTCCTTTGTCGGAAGGAGGGAGAAGATATAGTACCGTTTACCTTGTACTTCGTAAACAATTGAAATCGTCATCGTCCCTGCTTTGTTTCTCTATCAACTTCAAACGGTTGTTTAGACAATTCACTTGGCACTAATTACAAGTACAGTGTGGTGGAACAACTTGACAGAGGATATGGAAAATACGCGTAAGAAAGTTGTCCGGTCCAGTTGTGTTTTTGTACTTTCTGAGTAACAGTATTTGTGATCTTGTTGATGTAGCCTGGGATTACCTGAGTTTCTAGCGGATAAGCAAGACAGATTCCTTGGAACGGTCCCGGAAGCTGTCTGGTCATCACGATGGACAGGACTGATCTCGATTCGATCCAGAGTAAACTTAAACTGGCGATAAAGAACCATCAGGTACCGTGACAAACTTCTCCGACTATCCTGATGATTGATTATCTCGTCTACCACTGACAACTTTCATCACAAAAGTGATATTATTCGTATTATGATAGCTCTAGTGGTTTGTTATGAATTCTTACTAGATTTTTGTACGTCGCTTAACCTACAAGGGCTATTTTAAGTGAGTTCCATAGTGAAATGATGTTGTTTTGGTGCGACAGGTCGTCCAATAATAAAGCAGCACATCTTCTGTGTAGTGAAATTATGCGACCTTTCCAAACTTCATGAAGACTCAGGAAAGATGGAATCGGTGTGTGATTATAGTGTGTATTTATTGTTATTGCAGATGCTGGTAGTGAAGATGAAAGCAGAGCCCCAGGTAAGGATGTTTATGTCTTCATCACTTGACCGCAAGCAGCAGCAACACCCCGAATCCCTTCTCTCTGTCTGCTCGCTAGCTACAAATTATTGATTTTTGTTGTCGAAACTTTTCGTGCGGCCATTTTCTCCAACTCTGTAGTCAGATTTATTATAGCTGACAAGCCAAATGATTCTTTATTTCTACAGAATCAAGCAATGAAGACTAAGCTCCATGAACTGCAAACAGAGATTATGTCCCTCAGTGAGAAACAAGTGAGTATGGGGATGTTTTTCTGGACGTATCACCTTTGTTAGCTGAAGCTGTGCTTGGAAGTTTGGTGACCTACTATGCTAATGCATCAGGAATTTATTGATTTCTGCCTACATCCTTCAGTTTTGTCTTTTCACCAGAGGTGAACTTGTTCAGTGGCATCTTGTTGAGGATTGCTCTTATCCAGCTTGCGAACTGGGTTTAAACGTTTCTTAACCTTTTACTGAAGCTCAGCCCAAGATGGAAAATTCTTGGTCAGCATTGTGGAGGTTCCATATGTGAAAGTATTTGTAATTTATTCAGTTGGAAACTATTTTCTTATTTTAGAAATACACACATGTTCCTTTTTACATATGGGATTGATGTTGAATGAATATTACCACTGCAGTCTCATATTGAGAGATTGTGACAAAGTTCAAGATAAAAATTTCAGAAATATTTTTTTAGTAATTTCAGTAAAGTGCAAGGATTTTGCAAGAGACAAATGACAGGACATTTTCATGATTACATCAACTTTTTACAGGACATTCTTCTTTATCAGTAACAAATTTTTAAAATATCTTCAGGACAAATTGGATCACAGTCAGTCACTGAAACCCCAAAAGTACCAATAAACATGTATGTAATATTGACTGGATAAACTGCAGTTTATTCCTTCTGCATTTTGATGCTAATGATTTTGGATTTTTCAAGCTGAACATATTGTTAGGGATGTGTGTGTGTGATATGACCAGAAATGGCTACAATGCCTTTGACTTGCGTGATCATGTACAACTATTCTTGTGTTACCCGGGGTATGTGTTAAATTACAATGTACATGCTAATGGTCTTAAAGAAAATACTTGGTACATACACTATGCTTTTGATTGATGTTGACATATGGAGTCAGAAGTTTATAATTAAACTAAGTTGTGTTCATTGTAATTCCTGCATTCTTATTACCAATGAATGTAAAACACTAAGCCACACCCAACGAAGCTGACTGCTTTTATTGCCACAAAATTTTGGGGAATCCCATTATTACAGTCAAGGGAATTCCCTTTCTGTTGTGCACAGGACATTTAGCGAAATTTATGCATATTCATTGTCTAAACTACCCTTTGAGTCTGAAGGCTGAGAAGGAATGAAACAGCAAACGTGAAGGTTCATGCTCGCTCGACTTTTTATTTTTGTCTTGTCGCCTAGGTTCCACACATTTCGTTTCTCCGGATTTCATTTTTAACCTGCCTTTTTCCAAATGTGTCTTCCCATTCTCAGGGAACTTATGTTCAGTGGCAGTAACTGACCATGTCATTTGAAACAGCCGGACATATTCGTTCCGGTTCGTTAGAGGTCCTATGAACTTTGATCTCCATGACTTTGTGGGCGTGGCAAGTTATGTGCAATTTTGTCTGCTTTGATATATACAACTGTTTTTGGTTAAACTATTGTAGACAACACATGCCTTTGTTGTCGAATTATATTATAAAGAGTGACTGTGGATTGTTTTCGATTCATTGAGTTATGAATTAAAAAAACTGATGTGCAAACTTTTGTAAGAATCTGCTATGCGGATTCATACTTTTGGCACATAAGTTTTTCGATTCTTTTTAAGAATCCATCTACTATTCACATGAGTTTTTTTATTCATACCTCAATGAACCGAAAAAATATGCATCTGCAATAATCGAAAAAAATGATGTGCAAACTGTATGAATCCGGATTATTACAAAAGTTATATTATAAAGTTATGATTATAAAGAAGAAAGGAAAAACACTACGCGTGTATACGCTTCAAATACACTTGAAGATTGTATTGAATGTTTCAAGATCCTTTTATTCTCATCTTCCCGAGGCAAGGGAGTAACTGACTATAAAAGTCCAGTTTTCACTCTTGCCAAACTAGGCTGGAGTTATGGTTTTATATATTGGCGGGACTAACGAGTCTATGCATAGTCCAATCAAAATTGTGTAATGAAATCAACATCCAGCTTGTAAACTGCTGTGCAGATTTTAAAAAACTTTTTAAGTTTTTAATCAAGTCGCTCACGTAATTTGATGCCCATTTAGACCCATTTTATTACAATATAGATCTTGATTATCAATCAGATTGTCTTCACTGGATGCCGCCATTTTGTTTGAAGCAATGCAAATGAGATCAGAGGTGGAATCTGATTTGTCACTAGGAGGGGCATAGAAGGGACATAACTTATAATACCCACTGGTGGCGATACAATCGAGCCCAGAAATTCCAACCTTGTTCAGCAAGGATGGAATCTGGGCTTTTACAGTCAGTTAACTCCCTTGCCTCAGGATGATGTTCTTGCCTGTTAACAATATTGCTCATTTTCTGGGTTCTCAGGCCTCAAAGTTAATTTTTTTACCAAGTAGCCATATGGCCACAAGTATTTTTTTTCCAGATAGCCAGTGGTAAAAATCAAGAAGTCAAGCCAATATTGTAGGTAGCCAAAACATTTGAAATTATCTTTTATCAAATAACTATTATACATACGAGTCATAGCACTAGTCTTGGAATTGTATATTGAGTGGAAACTGTACTTGAGTTTTTTTTATTTGTGACTCGAACAATGATGCAATTTATGTTACTAGATAAAAAGGTATATCCTTGCTTATCCAATAAACTATCAACTAAAATAAAATACTAATTACATTAATATTTATGTATTTCGTTTCATTGTTGACTTTAGGCATGTTAGGAGGAATTATTTGCGAGTACAATTAGTAACAGACATGTGTAGCAATAGAATTTAGTCGCCACAAGATATGTTTCAAGGTAGTCAGTTGGCTACCTCTGAATCTTTGACAGTAGACAAAATGAAATTTAGATCGCATCAGTGACCGTTTTAGTCGCAACTTTGAGGCCTGGTTCTTTTTTCATTCGTTGTGTCTATTCTTACAAATATTGATACAATAATAAATCAACAGGATAACTGTTCACCATGGCTACACTGAAAGATATGTTTTAGGCTCATTGACAAAAGTTTTGGCACAAGAGTGTTCACCTTATAAACATTCAGGAAAAGATATGTTTTTTTAAAGACTTTTTCTTTTAGAAAATTGTAATGATGGGCACATTTCAACTTGGTTGATATAAGTAAATTCACACGTACCTCCCATTTGGCAAGTGTTTTTATATACACTTAGTGAAATGCAAAGAGTTTGAGAGATTTCTCTTATGCAGCAGCACTGGAAAAGAGCCATGGGAATGAAGAAATTATGTTTACTCAAAGGAAATGTTTTCTAAAAATGTGGATATGACTGATGATATTGATATTCATGAGAAAATACACAGACAAAACACTGCAAGATACTAGCTTCACCTACTACAGTTTATGACATGTGTTTACTTGATTTATGCATGCATGGAATCTTCCAAATGAAGTTACCAACCCCCATCCCCAAATCCCACCCCCCACCGAAACACATACACACACACTAAATGGGGTGACATAAAGGGGCATAACTCTTCAATGAACCCTGCATTATTTGATATGACAATCCATCATGTTTCTGACGTACAAACTTGATAAATGCAAACAATTGAATATGCCAAAAGTCACTTTCCTTAACAATCAAATTTTATCTTGAAATGTTTCCTTAAAAAAATGTTTGTATTGAAAGATACAGACAAAATCAGAAGTGGGGGAATTTTTTCTTTACATCTGAAATTTGTCTTTGGACAAAAAATTGAGGAAACATGCATGACACATTGATGGCATACTGTTGATTAACCTTTGTATGGTTGCCCTTGGTCATGTTGGTATTGCCATTTTGCCTGAAGAGCTACCGGGGCGATCGGGTAGCCTAGTGATTTAAGCGTTAGCTCGTCACGCCGAAGACCCGGGTTTGATTCCCGACATGGGCACAATGTTTGAAGCCCATTTCTGTTGTCCCCTGCCGTGATATTGCTGGAATATTGCTAAATGCGGCGTAAAACCATACTCACTGAAGAGCTACCCCAAACTGGACCATGTTGCCGTGTGTTGGATCTCAAGCATTCACTCTCCGCCAGAGGGCATCGAACAGAAGTTCTTTTGGGACATACAGGGCCAGTCCAATGTCTGGGCATGATGTGGTCCAGCATTGTCATCTTGCAATTCAGAATTTCTGCCAATAATTCTAGCGAATGAAACAATGACAACACACAAACTTTCAACTTATCTAAGGCCTATCAAATGTCTCTTCACAATAACCAAATCAGTTTGCCTATCATGTGTGATACCGTCCAACACCATGACACTGCTGCCCATATACCGATCACGGTCAAGAATTTTGTCCTGGCATACGTCACCACTAACATCACCTTGATTCGTCCATAAGTCTATTGGAACACAGCCCATCCTTGGTGTTGGTTAGCCCACCCCAAACTTTGCTGCCCATGGTAATATGTTAGGGTCACATCCTTTACAGGACGCCTTGCTTTCAGGTGTGCTGTATAGGGCTGGTTTTAGATGGAAGATGTTTAAATTCACCTTCCTGTTTTCTGTACGGAACTGGGCGGTCGGGTAGCCTAGTGGTTAAAGCGTTCGCTCGTCACGCCAAAGACCCGGGTTCGATTCCCGACAAGGGTACAATGTGTGAAGCCCATTTCTGGTGTCCCCCGCCGTGATATTGCTGGAATATTGCTAAAAGCGGCGTAAAAACATACTCACTCACTCACTGTACGGAACTCGCTATTCATAACATGAGCAGATTTTAATCTGTTGCATAGCGCACTTATGTAATGAGACGTTCTTGCCTAGTCGGGGACCATACCAAGGTCTCATTGCAACCCCACTCATTTGATGGTACTTGTCCCACAGTCGAGAAGTTACAAGTTTTGATTTGCCAAACATTTGGGCAAACTAGGATATTAATGTCCCCCTCCTCCCTCTCTATCGTACCCACAATTTGCCATTTCGTCTGTCCATCGAGGTCGGTCTTGGGGGCATTTTTGAGCATGTGTTTAGCTTATTTCCATTGGCGATCGTGAGTGCTCCTATAGGCATGCACACTTTGGATT